CTGCGTACTAGTTGTGACATCGGCAGTCCCTGCTGCAACATCGGCGCCACTCATCTCCAGCACGGGTTCCCTCGAGGGATACACTCACTCTAGAGTGTTAGTATACCCATGTATATGCGTTGAAGATGATGGTATCACTTGTTTTTAGTACAGCAGACACGATCAGGACGCGGCGGGAGAGAGAGAGAGAGAGAGAGAGAGAGCCGCAACGCAGCAAGCACTCCCAGACAGCCGAGCCCCTTGGATCAACCATAAACTCAACCTCGGGGTACTACCAATTCCTATCTGCGAAGTCACTTTCTACAGTCCCGTTGGAATATCCTCATCCGCTCACGCACACACGAACAAGAAACACAAGGAAGAAACATTCAAGCTGCTTGTCACGGGAGCGATTTTTTAGATGCAACCTCGGAGGATATTTTGCCGTTGACAATATCTGTCCACGTTGTGTCTCGAAGTCTATCGCTATCGACAATATCGATCGGTAAGCGTTTGAAATCTAGTGCAGCTAACAAAGCAATCGCTAACGCTTGTAGAAATCCATTGCCTTGATAATACTGCATATCGATAGAAAATTTGAAACTCTATCGTTCGTTAGAGGCAATGGATGTCGGAAGCAACATGCAACATCTGCTATTTTCAAAAAGGACATATATGGAAGTCTTTCAAAATCTCTTGTCCCTGACAAGGGATGTATCTAGTATCTATATCTTGTGCTCCAGCAACAATTGTGCCGTGTATGTGTACTTTGTTTTTCGTGCTTCGGCACAACTTGTTCTCGCGGCAGGGAATGCTTTCTCATGGTTCCTTCTCAGGGGCACGCAAGAAGCTTGTCGGTACATTAGTGCGCGCGCTCTGGGGCCGTCAGGCACCCGTGGCACGTGCAATCGGCGCAAAAAGTCACCCCGACCGGCTCTATTTTGGGTGGAGGCATTCCGGGCCAACAAATCCTTCTCAAGAAAAAAAAAAAACTTCGTTGCATAATCAGGAATCCCTTTCATCCCTGCGCACAACGCGTACACATTCGCCCAGGCCTTGAGCAACACGGTACAAATTCGTTGGAGCGAACGATCACATGCAGCGGGTTAAAGCAGTACACGGCGAACACGCCGCTTGCTTTCAAAAGGCACATATTCCCCGCACACACGAAAAGTCACGGAAACAACAAAGAAAATTACATGACGTAGTATTGTGCAGTTTGTACCGAAAGCCGAAAACTGGCACTGCCGAACGTTGAAATGCAACATGTAACCGTCATAGCATTGGCCATATCCTCTTGCGTCGCCCCCGGGAGGCAAGCCACCTAACTCCAGAGTATCACTACTTTGTTGATATGGTCGACAATTTTCCCTCTACATTGTATTGCCCAAGGGGGGGTGTACTCATAGGCGTGCATGCCGTACTCGCTAGACCGTTGACCTCTCATCCCTACAAAGCCGGGACGGAGCACGCCGGGTTCTCACCGGACCAGGCTCTCACATCACCAAGCGCGAAGCGCCGTGAAGTACTCGACGAGTCGCGGGTGCGCTGGGTAACCTACACTATTTGACAAATTGACTAAGCTTCCATGGAAGTCAAAAGATAGATACTTCCATGGAAGTGGTTCACTGCTTCCATGGAAGTCACGTTGACTTCCATGGAAGTCACGGTGGCTTCCATGGAAGTAAATTTGAAATTTGCGTCTATGGAACCTGCTGGCCTGGTTCGGGTAGCCAGCTTCCATCACGCTTGCATGGAAGCTCGTCGAGCTTCCATGGAAGCGAATCTGCTTCTATGGAAGCAATTGCTACTTGCTTCCATGGAAGTGGATGTCGGACTTACATGGAAGCGCGACGAGCTTCGGTGGAAGTGACACTTTCGTGGAAGCTCTTCGCTCGACAGAGTCGCTGCAACTTCCATGGATAGATGTTGTGCTAACTTCCATGGAAGCACGACAACTTCCATGCATGGAACTTCCATGGAAGTCGGTGACAGCGGTCGAAAGCAACTTCCATGGAAGCACCGAAACGTCCATGAAAGCAACTTCCATGGAAGGGTCTGGACATGTGTTCACTCCATCTTTCGTGGAAGCATTCCAGCTTCCATGGAAGCTGTCGACGAAGACTTCCACGGAAGCTGCGGGAATAAGCTTCCATGGAAGTGGTCCACAACACCAAAGTTTCCATGGAAGTATACGCTAGGAACTTCCATGAAATCTAGAATTTTCAGAACATCCAGCTTCCNCAACTTCCATGGAAGCACCGAAACGTCCATGAAAGCAACTTCCATGGAAGGGTCTGGACATGTGTTCACTCCATCTTTCGTGGAAGCATTCCAGCTTCCATGGAAGCTGTCGACGAAGACTTCCACGGAAGCTGCGGGAATAAGCTTCCATGGAAGTGGTCCACAACACCAAAGTTTCCATGGAAGTATACGCTAGGAACTTCCATGAAATCTAGAATTTTCAGAACATCCAGCTTCCATGGAAGTATATCCTGCCCTTCAAGCTTCCATGGAAGTCGCTCTCAGTCCTCCCGAAGGACTTCCAGGGAAGCTTGTTCGTGCCGTTTCCATGGAAGAAGGCGTCGAGGCCAACCTTGCATGGAAGTTTCCCCAATACAGAGTAATCCAGCTTCCTCCATCCATGGAAGCGTCGTGTGTCAGGGATACCTACGTGTCCAAGTGTGTGTGTGTACAGTAGCGAAGATCAATTACTCCATGATCGCTGCAGCCAACTTTAGTAGTACCCTAGTTACGACATGAAGATTGTGTGTGCACGCTACAAGGTATCAGCAACCACCTAGCTATCAGACGCGTGAAGTTTTATGCAGAGCCAATACCACACGCTGTATGACGCGCTCCCGTACAGGGCTGTCAGCGAACGGTCAGAATAGTTATCGGTGAAATCCCAAGGTAGGCGGTCGACTATTCGGGGTCCCCAACAGTATGAATTGGGATCCAGAGCTGGCCCACGCCTCTCTCCCTCACTTTCATATCCTACCATGAATCTCTGACCTTGTAGTAAGACGATAACAAGAACATCCACAGCTCCCACGGGCGGCATCGTAATAATCGTAACAATGGACTTCCAATCCTAACTCCAAGAAAGGCAGATCGTTACATGACCTTGTTCATTTCCCTGGAGGAAGCATTTCGTTGTAAACGGGTTTGTGGAAAATTCATCTACAACGAGTTCCAGGTTTTCCGTGGATGAAGTGTTCCGCAATATTCCTTCCATAAACGCGTCCTTTCTTGTGTTTTTCATGGAATGAAATCATCTCACTTGGGACTTTGCGTGTGTGTATAGCATGTGTGTGTTTTTATTAATAGCATCGACCGCGCCAACCGGCTGACCAATGAGAAGACGTAAGTCTTAGTGCGGTTGAATACACAAAACATTCTATCTGTCATGAACTGGGACCCCGTGAGGGGGGGGGGTGCTCGGCGAGTCGCGTGAAGGGTGCGCGCTGCATCCTGCTGCTAACGGTGTTGGGCATCTTGTGCTTACTTCCTTGCGTACGGATGACAGCTGCGTATGACTTAATTTACTTTCTGGTGCTTTCACTTCCAGAGACAGTTGTTAGCACTGTGTAACTGCCTCGAGGGTGCTTGACGATTTTAACACAACGTGGTGCGATCATCCCCCTTGATCCGCCCCGCCCAACATGATCTACTCGACCACCATAGTGGTTCCCGCCAAAAAAAAGGGGCAAAAAAAACCCCGGGAACCTGGTTGCCGAGTTCACGAAGTGAATTNCGTTAGACCATTGACCTCGCATCCCTACGAAGCCGGGACGGAGCACGCCGGGTTCTCACCGGACCAGGCTCTACTACCGAGGGGGGGGGGCTTGTTTTACAATGTTGTTGCCAAGCGACGAAAACCCATCCCCGATGGCAAACATCGGGGGGGGACTGTGAGGGGGGAGGCTAAAATACCCTTCGGATCAAAGACGAAATAGTAGCAAAAACATATGCTGCACGCGTCTACGAAGGCTATTACCTGGTACTCGAGTTCGTTTAGTAGTACTTTCACCATTATGCTCTTTGTTATCGCTGCGATCATTCTGATCATCATTTTGACAACAATATCTTGACAGTTCCTCCCTAGCCCTGAGCCTTCTGCGGAAGGTCGTCTGGCTCAAACCCTTTGCTCTCTTCCACTCCTCCGATTTTCCCCCTACAAAGTCTCCTTCGTCCTCCTTTTTCCCCGTGTAGAACAATAAAGCTTCATCGGTGTTGAGGTGATCATGTCCTACCAGCGAGACGTCGACGAAGAATACGCACGAAGAAGAGGACCCTCGGCAGTCCGCTTCATCCCCGCGGCCTCACCGTGATGGGTGAAGCAGGCTGGGCCGCGGTTTCGTTCGCACGTGGGTAGGTTGGTTGAAGGGCGAGCGACTCGAAGACCGTCGGTAGCAGATGGCGATACACGCACTCGTAGGGTAGCAGAAGATGGTGTGATTGGTAAAGATCGAGGTAGAGGTGGGTTTCGGGGGGGGAAGGAACGGGCCACTGTAGACCCCAATAAATCGTCGACGCAAATGCTGCACCAATGGATATGACGTCACTCACAACTGGGTACCGCACAATTCAATCCTCTCAGTCCTGGAGGGAGTGCCAAGGTGGGGGTAGGCTCCTAGTATGTGGTATATGAAAACGTCTAGTATAGCAAACAGTCCTCCGTCCACGATCGTGCAGATATGGAGCCATACCCACATCCTAAGGCAAATAATGTACAGTTTCTCTTTGCTACCGCAACACTCCGCAACAGCTTATGTATGCGATATACACCTCTGTACGCACTGACGACGGCTGGTGCGGGAACCTTTGGGTTGTGGAAATAACCTCATAAGTTCATCAGGTTCGGAAAACGGACCACCAACGAACGCAAAGAAAGAAACAGAAGCTTTCTCCCTACTCCCCTTGCGTGTCTAATACAAGAGATAAAACGTCTTCCCCTTCCAAGTAAAGGACATATACGAACACACTAGTGTCAGCCCTCGAGGGAGAGCCCATTAGGAATGTCAGGTCGCAAAGATGGGGGTGACTCCTCCAGCGACTCTGCGGCGGAAGACAGAAAGAGGTCAAGAGAAGGGCTCGTGGCCCTGAGGACGCAAGATAGCTCGCTGACGGATCAGATGAGCCAGCGAATGTCGCTAGTGGAAGATACCATGAGGGCAAACAAGAAGGAGGAGCCAGCTGGCGTCATGGAGGGTGCCGCCGATCGCGGCGATGCTAGGGAGAGCGCCGCCGCGGAGTCCACGAACGCCGAAGGAGGGGCACCGTGGACCGGGAGTGCGCAGGACGGGAGGTACCTGCGCGAACCTGTTCGAGAGTCTGGCCCGTCAGGGCGACACAACGGCGAAGCAGGGGGCTCTGTCCCCCAAGAGGTGAGAGTAGCCGCTGCTCACAACCAAGGTTATAGTACTGCCATGGGAGATAGTGGTGGTGGTGCTGGCTTTGGATACGGAGCCACAACCCCAGCGACGGGGTACCAAAGTGTGTGGTACACTTCTCCTCCGTTCAGCGGGAAATCGAAAGATTCCAACGAATGGCTATATGATTTCCGCATGGCAGCTAATGGCGCAAACCTGTTGGAACAATTTGAAGAGAGCGGGAGCTTGGAGATCCCCGTCAACAGCGGAAAGAGCACGTTTTCGCTGTCACAGCAGTACCGGAGCGAGCAAGTAGAGCTCGCATTCCACGCGTGGAACTTCCTGTCTCACGCGTTGAAAGAAAAAGATCGGAAAATCATGAAAGGGGCAGAGACGCCCCAGGGAGCTCTTCGTGAGCTCAAGACCATACACGACCCTCAATCATCTGTACAGCCGTCAGAGGACCTCAGGTCCCTGACGTCGACCAAGATCTCTAGAGGTGAAAACCCCCAAAACGCCCTAAATGTGATGCTGCAAACCGGAAATTCCTTAACCGAGAAAGGACTAACGGTCAACGAAACGTTCGTCCTTCACCTCTTCCTGGATGCCCTTTCGGACGAGTATGCCATGACAAAGCACAACTCGCGACACGCGAAGGAGTTGACGCGGACCGGTGTGCAAAAGGAAGGAATGATCGAATCCAAGGCGATCAAGGACAAGCTGGAGCAGGGGAAACGCAAAGGGGCGAAGGGCGCAGAGCATGCATGCGTACTTCGCCGACGGTGAGGGCCGCAGGGAGCGGTACTCAAGTNTCGTGTGCATGCCATCAGCTGAACTGCACCGCCACTAAATCAAACAAGGGAGACAAATCCGCCTACGAGATGTTCCACGACTCCCCACCGCCTGTCGGGTCTACAAACCCGTTTCTCAAACCAGCCGTGTTCAAGTCGAGAAGAAAAGCAAAGTCGCAACCCAAGAGCGAAAAAGGATGCTACCTCGGTCCTGCCCACAATCACCCCCGTGACTAGGGTCGCATGCTAACTGAAGCTGGAACCGTAATCACCACCCGCAATTTCACCTGGCGCCACGTGCCCGCTGCATCGCCCGCTCCCCCGCAGCTGCTACCTCTCGCAGATGACGAGGAGGGCGGGCAGGGCGAGAGCAGAGCGGATGCATCACGCCAAGGTTGGGGGGGAGAGAGAGACTCAGAGAGTGAGTCCGACCTCGACGTGATGGAGGCTCGTGGGCCAGGGCAAGCGACGCCGTTTGTGCGCGAGGAGGCGCCGACGGCACCCGGCAACGGGATTCCGGGGGACGGAGGCAGCGTTCCCCCGTCGCCCCCTTCGGGAAGGGGCGACTTCGGCGGAGGCAGTGACAGCCCCACCGACAGCAGCAGCAGCAGCAGCACGAGCAGCAGCAGCCCGAGCAGCAGCAGCAGTGACGCCGCCGGTGCCGGCGGCCCGGGCGGCGAAGAGTCCGGCGACCCAGGTGGGGACGGCGGTAGCGATGGTGATCCCGGCGACTCCGAGAACCTCGAGGAGTTGAAGTATGATCCAGCCGACGACCGCTACCCCCGCGGGCTAGAAGGGAAGAAACTCCTCTGGGGCGCCTCGAACGCTGGCCCGCTGCGCCATGGGCTTGAGAGTGGCCGCACGCGGAAGCAGACCCGGGAAATGCAAGGCGCCGGGGGGATGCCGGGGCCCCGAGAAACACCTGGACCCGGAAGAGGCACTGCTGGCGACCATCCTGGAAACTGGCG